ACTTCTGCACGGGCTGTCACACGAACCAAGTGGCGTTTATACCAGGAAAAATTCTATCGAAATGGGATTTTAATCGGTAAAAATTTTTAAGAGATCTTAGAAATTTTATCAAAATTAGAGCATCTCGATATTCTTGATTTTCCGCAGATATCCTGTGTCAAACTTCTCATACAGATTGCTAGATCAGATGATGTCGGACCCACTGTTCCAAGTGAATGACTTGAACCCATTATTGTACAGACGAATAAAACAGTTGGACAAAACAAGAATTTTGCGCACAAAGTTATTCTTCCTAAAGGACTTCTTATTCATGTGCCGGTTCGCAGTTAGGTAATTATCTCAGAGTTTTTTCTTGTGATGACATGTTGTGAAGCAGCTCAATGACATTTATCTGCAATGTTTTCTGCAATGTTTTAGTCTTCAAGACGTACTGAAGAAAGAGCCAAATTATATCATAAATGATCCACATATATACTCAATTCAAGATTTAATAAACGTCAAGCTTGGCGTGTTGTTTGTTAAATTGCAGGAGCTCGTTCAAATTTGTTGCGCGCACGTTGTAGATTGCGAGGTATTGCATTTAATCAAGTATATGATTCACGAATTATTTGTATTTTAATTTTTAATCGAATTTAAAAGATTTAGTTCCACAAACGATATACTTTATTATATTAATATTGCAAGGGCCTGCCAAATTCTTTCTCTCAAGTATAAGTTTTAGATATATACATAGAGATATGCATAATAATGTTTAATAAGGCCAATAGCTTAGAAAAGTCATTTTTTATTTCCAAAAATTATTTATTTTTAAATATGATAATTTAATTGTTACGCGGCGTTATACTATTTATGTTTTTTTTTCTAGTTATGTCAGGCCAGAGGATTTGTATGTGAGTTGTGCTATTCCAAGGATGTCATATTCCCATGGGATTTGTCAAAAGTGATCCGATGTGAAAAGTGTGGTGCATGCTTTCACATGGATTGCAAGCACAGCTCTGATAAACTTGAGTGTCCTCGATGTGTGAGGCTACGCGCCAGACGAATTTCAAGAGATGAGAAACCCTGACGAATGACGAGGGCGTTCTTTGCCACGCCATTCAGAGTAGGATACGTATTTTAAGTATGACAAACGATTCAAGTCCAAAAGAAAATCTTATAAAATTTATCTCAAATAATAAATCAAAAAGACATTTAGGATATTTTATGTCTTTTGGATTTTACATTTGAGATGTTACTATTTACATATAAAATGTATACAATACGTATTCCGTATACAAGAAATTAATGCAAATTTCTTTCGTATTTAAATAATTTGTTACAGAATAGATATAAAATATGAAAGTCAATTCATAATAATCACTCAACGTGTGGTATGAGCTTAATTATGATTCTTGACATATTCGACGAAGATAAGCGAGACGAATATTAAACTATATATTGGACAAAAATGTATATTATAAGATAGAGACTCATGATATTTACACTTTTCTCTCTTCTTCACTCTACTAACGTAACTGAGAATACTACTTGTGCCTCAGTCTCAAGAAAAAAAATATTGAACGAACGAGACGTACATTATAGCGAAGACTGAAGCATTGTGATATACTTGTTAGAATTCTGTTTTTGAGGCAATTTCCATTAATATGAATGCTCATGAGATGTTCTTTAGATGTTCTCTAAATATTATTGAGAAATACATCAATTTATGAAAAATCTGATGTATAGAAAAACAGTAATTAAGCAAACAAATTAAGAATATAATAATAAATTTCACAAGCTATGGAGAAAGTAAACTTTTTCAAAGAGTAGTATGTAATATATATTCAAGCAACATGCTTGTTTAAAAGATGTCTCAAAGATGTCTTTAAGATATCTTAGAACATCCTTAATGTTCTTTGGGTAATTTCTATACTACCACTCAAATATGGATTATCCTGTAATTTTTAGATAAAAAATATGCGCTTCTTATAAATACAAGAATAATTTATTAAAGAAATTTTTGTTTTAACTTTAAGATCTAGTCAAATAATGTAAATAAACCATATTTTGTATAAAATATGATTGTATAAAGAATTGTTTTTATTTAAAAACTACAAGATACTATAATATTTGAGCGATAGTGTACACATACATAAGTTTTGTTCAAATAATCTATTACACATTCGTTGTTTTGATTTAATAGATTAGAATAGAGATAAATCTGAACGATATTTATACATATTTATTTGAGCATAGCGAGCATGAATAAAAAGTATTATTTTTCTGCAATTATTTTGTAAATGGGCAACGATTCTCGATTAGATAATTATTTTAAACTTAATGTTATCATGTTAATATAAAGAACAAAATTATATCTTAGTATATAAAAAATTGTATTTAGCGATAGCAAGTATGTACCTGATTTTTATTAAATTTATGGAGAGTGTTAAAGTATGCTTGCAGAATTAGAGCAAATGATTTTCAGAAAGAAATTTTGATATTTCTGTTACATCTTTCCTTACGACACTATTACAATTCTCAATACAATTATGAATAAAACATTTTTATAGACAGAGAATCGTGTAAAAGGAGTAAATTAAATTATGAGATTACGATTGATAAAAGAAGATAATTTAAAAGAAGTCATAATTTACTTTTGAAATTGAAAATTGATTTACAAGTATCAATTTTTACGATATAATATATAATAGCTTTAATAATCATGTTATCTAATAAAGTGCGTATTAATAAAAGATTTTTTTCTATTTTTTCAAATAAAATAATGCACGACAAACTGTATATTAAGTTATCCTTATATGATTTTATTAATTATATCTCATGTATAGCGCACACATCTTTTGACATCTTAAACCTCAGTACAATAAACATAGTTGATTTATTAGTTGATTAATATAGAAAAATATATTATTAATTATATACACATTAGCCAAATTTAGATCAAGTCTTATGATCACCCATGTATCTTCAATATATATATTTATATATTTCTTACATAAGTTTTCTTTGATTTTGTCCTAATTACGGATGTAACATAGGTACAGATGTCAATCTGTAATTGATTATATATGTACAGTATACATGTAATTTTTATTTATATACTTGCGTGCTTTTTTTAAGCTAACAAATCTACCGAGATGTGCGTTACATTATTTTTACTAAAAAGCAATTATGTATATATATATATATATATATATATATATATATATAATACTAATACTAATGTACCAACTTATATACACGTATTTAGTCTACTACCTACCAGTACTTGTACCTATAAATTAGTTAATTAATTTTAATTTATTTAACTTTACTTTACTTACTTAAGTTTTAACTTTAGTTTAGTTTATTACCGTTACTTAACGGTACGTAGTAAAATAGGTACCGAAGTAGTATTAATAGTATATATATATTATAGTACTAGTATACTATAGTTATTTATTATTATTACTGTCGTCGTTACGTTTTACGTTACTAACTAACTACCTAACCGACGTAGTAGTTGGTACGTTACTACTTTAATTTAACTTAAACGTAACTAATATGTATATATATATATATATATATATATATATATATATAAATACTACACACGAATTATTACTAATATATCGGGGTAGCCATAAAAGTCCCTTGCTCTCTTTTTAATTAGCTATTTTGTTAAATAGATTTTACATATTTACTGTATAATGAATATCTGATTTTTTTCCAAACATTAAAAAATATGGACATCACACATAGAATTTGGTTATAAACGTAAGTATCGAGAACTATTATATCAAACTACTAGGTCATTCATTCTAGTATATGTATATATTCTTATTTTTTCTAAATACTTAATTTTTTATATATACCAAATTTATTACTTTTTAATGTTCTTTTCTTTTTTATTTCTTTATATATGAATAAATATAAATATTAATTATACAAGTAAATTATATTGTAAGAATGCCAAATGAATAAGCATCTCTTCGTCAAATGCAAGAATAAGGTGGATCCGCGATTTGCAAGATTCACTTCAAATACAATATTGTATGCAAAATGGAGCGTCCAAATTATGGACTTCTTTCATTCCTTATATCTCCAAGCTCTTCAACTTTACAATAGGGATTTCGTGGCCGCCCTGCATTCAAGAAGAAAAAAAATGTTCTACACCTCATACAAACATGCATATACACATACATACGCACATACATGCACTCATTGTTTCGGCTTTGTGATATTATGAGCGAATGTTGATATCACAGATGATAGACAATGTTTTTTATCTGAAATGTTTTTGTTTGGAGAAAGAAGAGAACTACATCATCCGGCACTATTGTACAGGTTTTGAAACATCGAATCGGTGAAATATCTTTTTCCTAATTTATACTTATATTTAGTTTTGGCACGCAGAGATTTATAAACTAATATTTTTTTTTAATTTTTTTTTTTCGATCTTTAAACTGCAAGGCAAACTGTAGATGTATATCTTAGCAATTAATAATAACTGGTGTTCACACATTTTAGACACATTATTGTGTAAACTATGTTTATGATTAGGCAGCGTAAATGGCCGAGATCTGTCGCTTACAAATTGAATAATTACGAGTTTTGAGGGAAAAAAAATCTTACTTCGCATTTAAATGTATAAAACAGGCATCCAAATTGTACTCAAATTTAAAAATAAATCATTAGATATACCTCATTCTATAAGATCAAATATTAGAATATTTCACTTGCAATTGAATCTTCACATTATGTGATAATCTATGATAAAAATATCGCTTCCTCAATCATGACTGTAATAGTTAAAAATCCGAGTTTCTCATTTAATAACACAAGCTTCATCTTCAGTCTACCTACAGACGGGCTTCCGTGACATTTCTTTATCGGGAACGAATTTAATTTTTCTATGTTCTTCCCATTTTTTTCTTGCAGTTTCCATTCATATTCTAATAATTAGATCGTTATTAATATTGGAATGTGTGGAGACTGAGAAGGGAAGAATAGAAAAATTAGCATTTTTTGAGGAGGAAGAAAATTCGGAAGCCTGACTGCGCAATAATGATACATAACAATGCGCCACACTCTTCACATGGCAGTACCTTCAGTGATACACGATTAATTGACAATCAGCAGTATTCTTCTAAAATATTTTTCATCGTGTGTAAAACATCAAAAGTTTAAAGTTAATTATGAAGAAATCAATTGAAAAGCAATGCACATGGTCGATTATTCTGAGGAATGAAGTAGAGATATTACAATATAATATTTATTTAGTTATTTTTATACAAAATGTTCAATGATTTTTAAATAGTATGAAATAAAATAAAATACATCAAGTTAATCAAATTTAATACGTGCAACTTGATGAAGTCTAGTCTAGTCTAGTCATCATTTATTTATGACTTAGAAGTTTTTGGCTCGAAGCATGGTAGGTTGTAGGGCAATAAAATTTCGTACATGTAAATCCGACCACGAAACAAAATTATGAATTTTATAATTGCTGCAATGAACGCAAAACATACTTCAATTCATGAATTTATGAATTGTACAATTTATATTTCTTTTTTCAACTTCAAAGTCCCTTTATTCTTCTGAATGATACTAAAATGTATATCAAAAAAATTTTTTCGTTGGGAACAATTTATTGGATTGCAAGGCGATTATAAAAATAAATTTTATTCCAACTTATCTTTTAGATTTAAAAAATATACATTTTATCGTTCTCGAGAAGTTCGACCATACATGCCTTACTTTTCACTTTATTTTCATAGGTTAAAAAAAAACCCGACATCAGATCTCGGATTGACAATTCATTTCGCAAGATGTAAAAGTATGGCGCTAAAATAAATTTTTTAATAAAAAAGAATTAGTAAAATAACTTATACAAATAATAAGGACAATGTAAAATGATATAGAGATTATCGCATCATATACATATATATAAATAAAATCATAATAATAAAAGATAATGAGCCATCAATATACATGCTATCTGTACCCGTAAAAAACTCGGTGAACGACAAAAAACTTTCGCGACAAAACTTTTTAATGTGCATTCGAGATTTTTTACGTTTTTGCCCCTGGTTTATGCAATTATACAATTTAAACAACAGTGTCGCTATTTGCACATTAACAATTGTGCCATTATGTTGATTTAATAATTGATTGTTGGTACGACTAGTCCTAACTCTTAATTCCGTACGTTATCAAGATAATTCACCTGTCTATACTGAATTTGACACTTTCTTTAACTTCAATTGCTTTACTCTCATTATTTATATATCTAAAGTCTCTTTCAGAGGCAATTTTGCTACTTCGAAGAAAATCCTAAAATAAAGATAAAATAGAATGATTAACTCATGAAAAAAATATGCTTTATATATCATACATATAGAAGATTTTATTTATTAATCTTATGTACACGCACGCACGCACGCACGCACGCACGCACGCACG